GTGCCGGAGATCTTGTTCATGAAAAGTTCGAGGGATCTTTGTTTGACGGCGCCATTTTCCTTTGAACATACGGCGTCGATGATCAGACTTTACTTCGAACACTGACCATTGAGAGGATCTGCGAAGGCCAACAACTTGATCGTACCGATGGAGAAGCACTTGTAGTGCCTGGTGGAATCGTTCCGTAGGAATGGACGTGAAGAAGCCTGACAGGTCTTGTGACACCAGGTGGATGTATTCATCGGGATCTGCCTTTGACAGCGACTCCCACAGCTGCTGGACAAGTTCTTGTACTGAAAGTTGACCTGCAATGTCGGGAAAAGTAGCTTTGGTAAGTTCAAATATGAGGGCGCCGAAGACCGTGAGGAAGGGAGCTGCCCACGTGCGAAAGAATGAAATGATGGGTCGTGCTTTCTGCCAGTCCTTGGTCGGCTTTGGAAGGATGCGAGCTGTGGGCAACGGTGCTTGAAGTCGAAGTCCCCATGCATATCGCTGACGTAGGAGGGAAGGTACCGTAGTTACCACTTCAGAGCGAAAAGATGCTGCGGATTCACGGCAAAGCGAAAAGACATCTCCCGAGCAAAAGGTCTTCCGCATCAGTATGGCAAACAGGGACGGACAAATCACATGTGCGCGGGAGGGGAAATGATCCGCAGGGATTACAACCCAGGATGACAGAGAAGCCACGGTGCGCTGCAATGATGTCGATGACCAATAAGCACGATCTTGAAGGTTAGCTCGATGAGTGTCCATTAACTGAGTCAAAACCGGTTGCAGATCTACAAGAAGACTGGAACCATGCACATGCCAGCGACGAGCAAGTTTGCGAAGTTGCGTGGTGAAACGTTGATGTAATAAGTCGACATCACCGAAGTACTGATCCTTCATTGATGCGGCCATGATTTCCATGTCAATGTCCGCATTGATGCGAGAAAACTCATCAACCATTACAGCATGTCCATGTGCTCGGTGTATATGGTGATCATCGATGTCCAAACAGCGACACGGAAAGGATGTTTCAGGAGTCCATCTGCGCTGCCATGTGCGGTAGTTGTAGATCTTGTCGCCCAACGTGGCACTGCGAGTTTCCACCACCCGGATCTTTGGAAGGAAAAGGGAAGGAAACAAATCACGATGAGAAGCAATCCAGCTTTGTAACCATGTGCCAAGTAGAGCTTTCCAATTCCGGACATGTAGAGGCGGTAGGAGTAGTTGTGTCAAAGTGGTGGGTGATTGTAGCTGTCGTTTGCGTAACACCTGGGCGAGGAGTTTCTGCGCCTTGGAGCGGAAGGGCTCGTTGACAAAGACGGAGAGCCGCAGAAAGTAGTAAAGCTGAGTAGGAGGGAAAGCTGCCGACAGAAGGTCACGCATGGCTTGGAACGATGCACCTGTATTGGATCCCAGCTGATAGAGAATAGAGTAATGGGCCTGAATGTCATCCAGCATGTCGGGACGTAGTTGCCGTTGGAGATCCGGATGTAGTCGTCGTCGAAAGCGTTTGTGCAAGCCGAGGGAAGTGGGAGACGACAACGAGTGACGTCGAAAATCAACGAGGTGTTCCCGGAAGCCCACCTTTCGCAGAAGTCTGTGTACCCAGGGTGCATTCAAATGCGGGCGTAGCAGGTATTGCCATTTGCTTTCCTGGACCCAAACCGAGGAAACGGGAAGTTTGATCTCAACCGGAACAGCACAGAAGAGCCAGTAAGTATTGGATCGCTTCCAGTAGTGAAGCGCGGGTTCGAAGAAGGCATGACGTCCTCGAAGTAGTTGTAGAAATTTGCGACTGCGTGAGTGTTCACGTCGTAGAACATCCTGATCAGTCGCACCAACGTAGTAAGGTGTGTGCCATGGGGAAAGTCGGATGTAGACGCACGGTTGTTGATGATGACCTGGATCGTGAATGAAGTCATAGAGGTCCGGAAATCGTGCCCGCAATGAGCGAAGATGTCGCGTGTCGGCAAAAGTGGAGTGCATGATTTCACACAAGAGAGAAGCCTTGTAGAAGTGAAGGACTTCAAAGAACGGCGGAAAGTAGCCATGATCTTGGGAAATGAGACGTTGTAAGAAACTGATCAATAAATAGGCAGTGCACCGACATCTATGAATCTCATACCTGTTGGCCACAGTGTGTTGAGAGTGTGACATAGCGTGATTCGGAATCTGAAGGGCAATCCGGACCACAACTAAGACTTCCAGAATGAGGCCCAACCACGGTAGTTGTGTGATTGATTCGTACTCATCAGCTGGAATCGACGGTGGTGGTAGTCCAGGGAAGCAGTATTGCCAGCACGTAGAGAACATGGTCAACGAGTGTAAAAAGTTGTCCAGAGACTGCCATTGTGCAACATCATCATAGATTCCACAGCGGCGAAGCTCATCCAACATGGTGAAAATGCAACCAATGAAATCTACCATAAGGCGGCGACATGGATACAAGCTGCACAGACAATCACACACAAGGCAATGCAAGAACTATCAAGCACAAGATCAAACTGGCGCAACGCAGAAAGATGACGGACGAGTTTTAACCTTGACTCATCCGTGACATGTTTGCCGCTCCAGGCTCATAAGAGAACGAAGGTCGTTAAGATGCCTGCTCATCCGCTGAGTAGGCGAGCGGTCACGATGAGGTGACTCAATGCCTTCTCAGTGAGCTTGGTAAGATAGCCGGGCTCCAGTCCCCACGAAGCCGCCATCGCCCCGAGAGTAGGTGCGTCGCCTTTCGGCATGCGTTGACGCGCTTGAAGGAGCTGCGTCGCCATGGAATCTAATGACTTGTTGCCGTTGAGCCGGGACGGGTGATTGGCCCACTTGACCAGTGACGTCAAAGTCGTGGTTGTGGGTGATTGCTTGAGATAAAGGCGAGGCTGGTCACTGGTCCATGTGTAGTACTTGACAACTTCTTCCGGCGTGCTGTGCATGGTGAGCAGTTGTGACGCCGCCGGCTTGGACGGCGGTGACGACACTCCGTGAAGAGACTGAATGATCCGGGGTTGCACCGCGCTATCAAACGACTTGCCATCAAGGGCCGCTGCGCTGGCTGTAGGAAGGGAGCTGGCAGGTGACGAGGATGGTGTGTGGTTGACCGGTGGCGGTGTAACCAACTCTGCATCATCTTTCTGGCTTGCCATCGTGGGAGAGGTCGAAGCGCGCAGCGATGCTGAATACTGAGCCTGGAGCAGCTCATGCGCACGATTTAGATCATTGTACTTCTTGACCATGTCATCTGTCTGGGTGGAAGGTGTGAGAGAGGCGTGGTGTTGCTGAAGAAATTGAAGTACCAAGCTGGCCAAATGGTCATGAACCTTGATCCGCTGATTGAAGTCATCGATGTTGAGACCCAGCGAGTTGGCAAGGTCCTTTTCCAGGGTGAGCAGGTTGATCGACTGTGATCGTCGTAGTAGTTTGGAACAGGTACTCCAAAGTAAGGCCTCGGTGCGAGTGCGAAAGCCTTTCCACGTCACGAATCTGCCGTGTGCGAACGGTCGGAGTAGCCAGTTGGTGAGGCCCCCATGAATAACCTGAACCAGGCGAACGTCACGAATATCCATGCCTGACATGTCGCGCAGGTTGCCATGCGGAGTGTTGGCAACGGTCATGGGCAGGCTAAAGTTGTAGAGCTGATTGACATCAAACATGCCATCTCCAGGCGTCCAGTCAGGCGATGGTGTAAGCCAGGCTTTCTGAGGGCGAACCGGTAGAGCCGCAGGAGGTCCAGGTGGCGGTGTAGGTTGCGGAGTAGTGACCGGTGGTGGCATCACGGGTGGCATGAACTTCGTTGGCGTGGGGTCTGGAGGGATCGGCATCATGTAGTTGATCGCTGGGTGCTGGAATGGCTGTGTGGGGCTGTGAGTCGATTGAAAATTGGTGGGCATCATCGGGAAATTGTTGGCAGAGTTGTAGCCGGAATTGTGTTGCCAAGACACCAGGTTGTTCCAATCCATGCCTTCCGAGACGTGGTGGTCATTGTGTTCACGTCGGTGTGCTTTACGAGCCTGAGGAGAAGTACTCCGATCACGTCTGCGCCGAGTCCTGGATCTATCACGATCATCACGTCGAGACATGGGTACACGATCGACTCTCAATCTTCACGCTTCCATCTTGAGAGACACGTATCAGACAACAAGCAAATCCATGCAACAGCAAGGTATCAACGAATCCAACAAATGGCAAGCAAACATCTATGGTGAGACGTCTCTATGATCTGACCGCTGTCTTCCCTTTAGTGAGACCTCGTTCCTGGTTAAATGTGAAATTCCGCTGTTCTATGATAAGCACGTTGAGGTCAAATTTTCCGACAGAGCCGGCCCGGGGTCACACAATGGGTACACCCGAGGATTCCCCACGAATGGGGTGTACACACTTAAACTCCAGATGGAGAGTGCTAATCTTTCGAGTACAACTGATGAGTTTCGAGTACAACTGATGAGTCTCGAGTACAACTGATGAGTCTCGAGTGGGTGAAGGTTCGGCTTGCAGTCACTTGGTTTCCGTCTAGCTGCGAAAACCGTTACAAGGTTCAACATGAAGCACACACAGCGAGAAAACCAACGGGCCAAGAGGACTTTGAATCACACGAGTTGCGCAGGTACGCGGAGTTGATCAGACTCCGTATCCTAGGAGCTTGCAAAGAGCTTCGTTGGGCAGAGCTTTGCAAGTCCTCTCTGCCCCCCTGCTGAGAAACCGAAAGGGTGGTGACAGGGCATTCTGTCACTCCGCACACACACACACACACCCACACCCACACCCACACGCACACGCACACGCACACGCACACGCACACGCGCACGCACACGCACACGCACACGCACACGCACACACACACACACACACATTGACCCTTTTTCGTGCGTCCCCCCAAACCCTTGGAGGCAGCGCTTTTCACCAATGACCCAAAAGGTGTCCCCCATGAGGCCTTATACTTTCCCTTTTTGCATGGTCGAACACAGTTTCATCAGCCATTTTCAAGCATTTTCCAACTTGAATGGTGCAATCCACAGGAGCGCATCCGGCGGCAAGATACCACGCCTGCAGAGGCGGGTGGCGTGAAAACTCAGACTCGAGGGCTCCCGCTAGACCCCCAAGCCACAAAAAGGGCAATGTGGGGGTGTTGTCCTGAGCGTACTACCTCCAAAGGAACCGCACATTTTGACACATTCCCACGTACTTGGCATGTTTAATTTCTTTAAGCGTTCATACAGCTTGTGGGACACGTTGCCCCCACAGAGTATGAGTGCCAAATTTTGGGATGTTCAACCCACGTCAGGTAAGAACGCTGGAACCATGGTGAGAGCAGGGCGGGGTTAGTCTCCTTATGATAGTGGTGACAACCTACTTGCCTGACGTGGGTTCACCATCCCAGTACCCCAAACACGGTGGCCCATTAAAAGTTGAACTGTTTGGACATATGTATACATATGTTGTTTCCCAGTTGCAACTAGTCAGCAACAAGCTTTGCTTTGTATAGGTCAAAGATCTTGCGAATCCCCCCCTCGTGTTAGAATCCAAATTTAGGGCCACCCATCTCGCATTACCAGGCTGGCACCTTGATTTCAACAAATGAGTTTGTCTTGTTTTGAGGGTACCCCTTTTTGGTGGTTTTACATGAGAACCTCCATTTTGGGGGGGTCCCCTACAAAGACACGGCCAAATAGGCCTTGGTACTCGTCAAACGGGGAACAGATAGGCGCTGCATTTGATCTCACTTTCTTAATGATATTAGCCTGACTGATTATCAAGCAGAACCCTGTGTGGGGGGCTTGTGCTTGGAAGGGAAGCTTCCTGTGTCTCGTCGGCTTCATTCGGGCATCGAAACTAAGCAGAGGGACAGGTGGCTCCAAGTTGCGGTTTGAGGGCTTCGAGTTGCCAGTTGAGATCAAACATGGAAACGCGGTTGGCTTCAGTTAGTCCTCATGGTCCGGTTGGGATGGATAAGTAGCGGGGGATGGGCCTCCCGCCTTGCTTTATCTTGACACGTGGAAGCAAACCACATGCCCTGGATGCAGTGTGCAGACTGGGCGTGCGGGCCAAAAAGCGAACTTGAAAGGCTCAGTGTTTGGGAAGGAGTCTCAGTTGGTTTTGCAATGGAGTCTGCTCGTGTTGATAAACTGACTCATACCAACACATGGATGAATGAGAGGCAGCTTGATTGAAGCTTATATATAAATATATATATATATATATATTGCTGAAGTTTGGGCAGCTTTTGTTTGCTAACCAAAAGGACGCCACCAGTTTGGGGTCCCCGATCTAAACCCCCCGTTTCTGTTTGCGACCGCGTGTTTTGCATTCTCTCACGTGCCGGATGCTCTTGGCAGGGGTCAGCAACACAGCACACAGGGGGGCGAGGCCGCACAACAGTTGACCCTTTGGATAGTTTAAAGGGAGGAAGTTTCTCGAACTGGGCCCCTGTTGGTCAAGAACCAAAATAGAAGACCCGGATTTACGAATTTCGAGCCCCTGTGTTTAGAAACCAACGCCGCGTGGGCTGTGCGAACCATGCCAGAAGCGGGCCATCTTTTCGAGGACGCGGGTGCCTGGGCAATACAGGGCCAATCCGTGGCAGCTCAGGGGAACGACATGTCCCTTTTGGAGTGTTTCTTTCCATCACCTTTTGGTTGCTTCGAAGTCAATTTGCTTTTGGGGCGAGGGGACATTTCTCCGGGTTCAGGTAGCGCCTTGAAAGGAGAACGAGAGGACACGTTGGATGGAAAGTTCAATTCGGGATTTCCCACGATGCCAAGTGATCCAGACTCAACTCAGTATCCTTGCTCGTCTTGTCAAGCAATGGTTTTCAAATCTACCATTTGCGGGAGAGCACCTCAATCTGCAGTTTCGATGTGCCCGCACTTTGCGAATCAAGCAGGCAGTCGAATGAGCAAACGTAACCTCAGGCACACTGCATTTAAGCAGCGCTTCCTGAATAATTTGTCTCACATGGCCCAGCCTCCGTCAGGTCTGCCATGCGGGGTTGCAAGTTGTCCAGCAAACGCTGTGCTTATGGGGGCCTAAGTTTGGTCAAGCTTTGTCATCGGGCATCTGCCCAAATTACCTCAGCCGTTGGGGATTTGCCGCTGGCTTTGAAACAAGAAGCAAGGCGATGTCTCTCCCCAAAACAGCTACCGAACCTCATGACGATGGGGCACTTCACGCCGAAGTTTGCCAATTCGTGTCAAGGGGAATGTTGTTGGGGTCCAACCAAACCTTATTCTTAATATCCTTGGGCCGGCTAAATACGACGCAAAATCATAAATCATCTGCGTTCCTGTACACTGTGCCCCAGATGCGTGCCAAAACGCTGGGCCGTTGAATGCGGCTTGCCATGTCAAGGGTCCCTGTTGACCATCTGGACCCACCCTGTTTGCTTTTCAGGCCTCGGTCTGGAAGGCCGTGGGGCCCGCGGGATAAGTTCCCTGAGCAAGGCATTCCCGGACCTCGCTGGAACCAAACCAAAGCCGCCCAGAACACGGAGGCTTGTACTTGTGGGGTCTTCTGTTTCGACCTTGAAGCTGATTGTATTTCCCCACTAAGCAGCAAACAGCATAGAACACTTGACCAGCACCCCCCAACACCTGCTGTTTCCCCATGTCCAAAAAGCCAAGTACTGTCCAAAAAAGGCAGTTGCGGGGAGCTGATAGGTCAAGGATCCACCAGGGTTGCAAGGCCCAGAGGCGAACTGAAGGGGTGAGACGTGAGGCAGTTCTGGCCTCCATCAAGATGAAGCGGCCCCTCCAGGAGATGGGGAAAATGTTGGCCAACTTCTCGCGCTTGAAGTCCGACCTTCTAATCTGGTTGGTGTGTGTGTGTGTGCTTTTTTTTTGAGGGGCAGGGGAGGGGAGGGGGACCGGGATTCTGGGAAGCCTTCGAAGACAACGTATTTGGTCTTTGGCTGGATGTTTTGGACTCCTGGGGAACGTGCGCAGTTTTCCCAGCAGCCAGCAACAGGCTGCACTTGTTTGGCAAGGGAACATAGTTGCGGTGGTTCCTAGCCCTCTTGGGTCTGGCTGGTTGGTTTGGTCGGTTTGGTCGGTTTGGTCGGTTGGGTTGGCGTGTGGGTACCTGGTGGTGGGTGGGTGGGTGGGTTGGTTGAGTGATTCGTTGGTTGATTGGCTGGTTGCTCAGCATGGCGAGTGTGGAATGTTGCGTCCCTGGCATCACTAGCCCGATTGGATGATTTGATTCAGCTTGGGCACGGATCTGATACAGCTTGCCACTTGGCCCTGATTTGGGGGCACCTGAGAGTTTCTTGGGAATGTTTAGGAAGGTTTTAGAGTTGGCTATGCTTACACTGAGTTTGGTGTGGCCACTTTTCCGGTAAGCGTTCATGCCTCATAGGTCTGTATGGCGTTCTCCGCAAAGGCGATGCCCATTTCCCGATGACCCGATTTGGGGCGGAGACGGACTCCCTACGCATGAGACGTGGACCACGTGGATTGATATATCCACACCGTGTGCCCCCATCCTTTGCATCGAGGGAGCTCAAGGGAAAGGTAGCGACATTTCTACAAGTGGACGAGATATGACCTGTATGATTGTCCACCTTGGTTGGCGAATTGGGCCCAGTCGTTGCTGCTTTGCTCATGAGTAAATCGTAGAGGCCCAAGAGGTGGTTCTTTCTTGGCGGTTTGAGCAGGTGAGAGAGAAGCTCTTACACTCCCCCTCTTTGGAAGCATGAAGCACGGCAGTTTCATGTTGTGATTTCCATGTCAATTTCGTGGGTCTAACTTTGGTGAACTGTTTGGAGACATGTTTCACGTCCCAGCGACACTTGTCAAAGCCGAGGTGGTGAGTTGAAATATGACCTCGGGTCGATCCCAGGGCTGTGGGTGACCACTTCTGTGATACAACAGAAAGGGCTTCCCAAATACTAACCCCTCACATAAAGGGAGAGATTCCCTTGTATCACACTGGGGGTCATTATTTTGATTGTTTCTAAGGGTTGTCAAAGTCAGAACATGGGGGTTGTTTCTTTTTAACCCATCACTTAGGGGCTGACTTTGGTAAAATCACGAGGCCGGTCACAGGGACTAACCCCCAAGGGGAAGATTCCTGAGTAATATGACCCATCCCAGGGCTGTGGGAAGTAACCCCTGTGATACTTCAAGGACTAACCCCCTACTTGTATCACAGTGGTTGGATCAACCCGTGATCCCGTCGATCCAGACTAGGAGCGCCTGGAGCAGAACAGCGCCCTTGCACGCTGGGGTCGGATCCCTGGTCCGACAAATCAATTCGACACATAGGTCTACCTGTTTTATGGCGAGCTCACCGATTCTGGGGTGAAACGAGCTCATGGCAAAGATCCTTTGTTTGGGGATTCCTTAGTTCAGGTTTTGGACATGTTACGTAAAATTTGCAGACAGGTCTCCTTTTTCGGTTATGTAGTTTGGTACGAAATATGTGGCATTGGTTCAGATGGGGTTACTCCATTTGCCCGGGCCATCTATGTGTCCAAATGGTCAACTACGATCAGAATGGTCAACCCCAAAATGGTCCCCCCCCTTTTTCTGCCAGAGGGCTGGGCACTCGGGACGGGGCTTGTTTTTGACTCCCTATTTGCTATGGTCACTTGACATTTTAGTTACTTGGGGTTAGAGAAAGTCAACTCAGGGGTTTTAGACCATCTTGTAAGGCTTGTGAACCACAAAGAGACTTGGAAGTGAAGTTTGGTGGACAGCTTCAGTCTACCTTTCACATGACTCATGCAACGTTAACCGCACAAGCTGGAGGGAACTCGTGAGGTGTTTCATGCAACAGGCAAACTCATCCGTGTGTTCTGCTTCATCAGAACCTGCGGCATCTGTTTGAGAGGCACCCTTTTTGGGGGGCCGTGTTTAAGGGAAAGCAACGCAAGAACCGTCTGGGTGTAGTTTTATTGTTGAAGCATACCCAAATGAGGCATCTTATGTCTCCAAGGAAAGCAGAAAGGACTTTTGTGAATCCCTTTTCTAAAGAAACGGCCATGTCTATGTCCGTTTGAAGACCAGTTTACTTTGGTTTGTCTGAAGTACACAAGCGTCACAGATTGTTGTTCGATGAACCATGAACCAAGCGCCATTTTCAAGTGTTTGCTAGCAAACGTCGACTCGCAGAGGCTTGCTTGCTTGCTTGCTTGCTTGCTTGCTTGCTTGCTTGCTTGCTTGCTTGCTTGCTTGCTTGCTTGCTTGCTTGCTTGCTTGCTTGCTTGCTTGCTTGCTTGCTTGCTTGCTTGCTTGCTTGCTTGCTTGCTTGCTTGCTTGCTTGCTTGCTTGCTTGCTTGCTTGCTTGCTTGCTTGCTTGCTTGCTTGCTTGCTTGCTTGCTTGCTTTTTGCATGCTTCAAAGCTGAACGGATTACGTATCTGAGCTGAAAGGACATTTGTTACCTGTTGGTTGGCAATGCGTACCGAAAGACTGCATGGCCGGGCTGCGACCGTTTCGGCTGCCAACGTTTACCCATTCCCACGGTACCCTCCCCCAGGCTAACATGGAAGCTCCCACAACCCCTTTGGAAGACTTGGTGCCATTTACAGAGGCCTTCTGGGAGCTTCCATGTAAGCCTGAGTGAGTGTAGCTGGCATACATTGGGATTTCAATCCCCCGCTTGTCCTTCTTCGCCCCACACCAAATCGGCCTTACGAGTCGAGGCAAGACGGAGGAGGTCTACGGCAGAGCTGGCCGCAACTGGAAGCCGGGCGCGGCCTAATTGATCCATCGAAGGAGTCCTTAGATCGCAGACCTCCATTGGGGCTGCTTTCATTTTGCCATTGGGTCTTGGTGGCGCGCTTTAAGCAAAAAGTCTCCATTGGGTTGCTTTCAGACACAGTTGGTTGGGTTTCGGTAGCGCTCACAATAGCAACAAGTAAGAGAGGGCATGAATTTATTTCCCTAGGCCACTGGTCTGTGAGGAGTCCGCCCATTCGCTGGTTGAGCTTTGCTTGGGAACACGGCACCGGCGGAGAAATCCTCGAAGGCAGCCCAATATGAGACCCTTTTGGGTCGTCCACCGCCGGTCTTGGGGATTCGGAACTGGAGGGACGGAGACTTTGAGCTGGGTCGGAGTCGTTACGAGCCCAAAGTTGTTTAAACCATCAGATGCTGCAAAGGGGGGGTTCAACAAGGGATTCTGGAAAAAATGGGTTAGTTTCCTTGAAGTACCAAAACTTGCTGGTGCACAGCAGGGAATGAGGGAATGAACCCAGGGGTCCCCTTAAAGTTTTAAAGGAAGCCACCAGTTGGATGGTTTAAATCAGGTCATTCCACAACTCTCATTGCCTGCATCTCTCGCACCAGCAAGAAAAGATCAGGTGCTGGCTCCTCTAGGAAACCGGGGGTGTTTTCAACAAGGGATCCTCGAAAAGCTCCCCCTGCGTTTTGGGATTTTTCTCGGCCAGAGCCACGCCAGGAAGGTGCAGGAGTTCCTCTCCGCCACGAAGCAGGTCCGCGTTATTTTTTTGTTTTTTTCTTTTCGGTTTTGAGGAGACGCAGCAAGCATGGCTTGTGGCTTCCTTGTATCTCTTTTTTTCTCGCAAAGGTGGCAAACAGACACCCCTCCCTACACCTTCCTAGACCTTGGCCTTGCCAAGAGGGCATCATACATGTTAAGAGTTGGAGCCATCAGTGGAGTGGTTGATGGACATGAATCACCGAGTTCTGGTGAATGCCCAGGTTCGGGTCCCGAGTTAAAGATCACCCCCAACTCGGAATGGCTGTAGCAAATCGAGGGGGGGGGTTGAGGTTGCCACTTTTCTGTGAGACGGCGGAATCCAGTTGGACCTGATTTGTTAGTACCTTTGATGGTGAAGGGAACAACCTAAGAATTGCGATTTCATGTCATGGGCATGGAAATCAACCACAAAGTGCTGTGCTTTACACGGATTTTAGTTTAGTCGGCTCTGGAGCATCCAAAGAAAAGGGGGTCGGCCAATTTTGGGAGACTCCATGGACCAGTCATGAGCGCAAGGTGTTCGGTCGGCCAAAGTCCAAGGGTTCTACTCTTTGGTTTTGACAAAGCGCGCTGTTTACCCTCCCTCCCACTAATACTGTGGATGAACGAAGTCCGGCACCAGCTAAGAAACCCTGGAATGATGATTCCCCTGTAAATACCAACAGCAAATGGTTTCCCATGGTTTCAAAGTGGTGCAGGATTTCGTCCCTCGCACCAATATGGAAGCTAGACGAAGGTCCCCTTGAAAGAATGGTCTGACCTCCAATCAGGTTCCATGCCGAAATTGGTTTTGGTTTCAGTTTACCTTTCTAATTATTTAGCTCCTTATAATAATGTCTTAAATAGCCACAAGTCCATCGGCTCTAAGCTCCAGACCGCGCCCTGGAATGATTTTGGGATGAAATGTTGCTGGCCGACGGGGGTTTGTTCATGGTAGTTCTGGTCAGCACCGTAGGCGTCGGATCCTCCTACGGCTCCAAAATTTAATCTCCACTAAAATAGACTAAAATGGGTGGTGCACCTACCCCAAAATGGTACCATTGGTTTTGACCCACAGCCAAATAAGTCCATGGGTGGGTTTCCAGACTGAGCCTCGGGTCATGAAGCCGAAGGTCCCAAGCCGCGCTTCGCCTGCGCCAGGTGAAGCAAAGCCACACGGCGCCGCGCCCAGCTTCCTACGCTCGGTTGCCCCTAAACTTACGTCCTGAGTTCATGAACTTTAAACTTTTTGGGTTTGGACCATTTGAGTGGTAGATATTAGTTTGAACTGTTTTGGGGCCATCCACTCAGCAAGTGAGTAAAAGCCATGCAAGCCGCAGCGCATGAGAAACCCGCAACCTCTGAATCCTATCAAGCGGGAGTCGCGAAAGTCAGAACGCCCATCAGCCTGGGCTCAGGTCGAGCGATTCGAGCCATGAACAACTCCTATCCCCGCTCCAAGATATTTAGCTTCTTGCAATTTCTTTTCCATCCACACCCTTTCGGAGGCTTCCTTTTCTTTTTTTAAACCCACGACACCTCATGGGTTCAGCCATTTTTTGTTGTTTTGTGGGTTCCCGCTTTTGCTCAGCAGCATCCCCAATCGTTTCCCAGGACGTGTGTCAACATCTCGGGATTTGGACCAAAACGCCTGACAGGTCCCATTTTTTAAATCTGGTTTAAGGGGAAGCCCAAGGAAACCATGTGTCAATAGCGGGGTGTTCCTTTTGGCTTCCCCTCCGACCCGAAACGCAGCCACGATGCATCGCTGAGGTGATGCAGATCTGGCTCCAGGTGCACAAGGAGAACGCCCAGAAACGGCTGGAGGAAGGCCTTGCTCCCGGGTTTGCTTTGCGTGCGGAGTTTGTTTCAAGACCCGGTACCCCTTAGGGAAGCAAAAGGATATTATTGAAACCATTGTGAGTTTCAACATGTTGAAAGCATGAGGTTCGCCCAACCCTGGTTGCTTCTTAGGGGGCGAGGGCAAAACAATATTTGCCTTACCAGCGTTGTACTCCAATGGCAAAACCACCAGTGCAGGTGATTACTGAAGCCACCAGCCAACGGCGAAAGGATATTATGTTAAATATAGTGAGTTTCAACATACTTAAAGCAGGAGGTTAGCCCAGCGCTGGACCGCTTCCTCTTTGTCGTCTTACTGCAACAGAAACAAGAAGTAGATGTGGCCTTTCTGAACGAGAATCCCACTGTATCTTGAAGATCATTGCAGTGACTGGTAGCCTTGTTAGTTTAGTCAATCCAGCATTGGAAAAAGACAGCATCATATCAGATAAAGTTTACCATGGAGACAAGCAGCTTTTCCAGGTCTTCTCAGTGAAGCAAAAATATATCATTTGGCCAATACTGAGTGTAAATACGTTTAAACAAAAGGTTACCCCAACAGTGTTTTGCCTTTGGACCGTTTCCCTTTTGGGTACAACGCTGAATGTGGGCGTTGTTCCCTCTTAAATTTGTCCTTTGTTCAAACGTTATTCTTCTGGACTTCTGGTATCCAGTAATTTGGGAAGTATGCCAGGCCAACAAGGAAGAGCATTCCTTCCCCACTGATCTTTCGTACGCTTGTAGTTTTGTGTTTTGATCCAGGGCATTGCAGATGTTGTGAGTTGTGTTTGCCCACGCTGGGGGGTTGGCGTTGGGGGTGTAATTTGAGCTCCTCTCCGTCTCCGCTTGGGTGCGAGCGTGTCTCCCACAAGTTGTGCTTGACCAAGTCAAGAGCAAGGCGAAGGCTTTGGGAGCACCAACAAGCAGACCCGAAATGAGTTGTGAAAGATGGGTTCCAGCTTGCACCTGACGCACTGCGTCTGCGTGTAGCGCCCAGAAACCTGTTGGAACCCCATCTAGGGTCACCCAAAATCATGGGAAACTCAGGGATCACGTACCAGCCATAGGCCCCACAAATGGAGCTGCTCCTTTGCCCAACCGTGGCTTGTTTCATGCGCAAGAGCCCTTGCGACTCGATACTCCCTTTCACCAAACCACGCCCATATCTCGCAAGCGTCGCATCTCGTTTGATATGGCTTGGACATCCCCAAACGGAGGCATCCAGGTCCATCTTCGTGCGCAGAGTGGCACTCTGTTCCGTTTCTCCATGCAAGTGCCGGCAAAGTCAGCCCAAAATCAGGAGCCCCTCAATTCGTGGTTTGGTGATTTAGGGATTTGAACCCCTGTTTTGTACAGGCTACCTGGGCTGCCCCGAACCACCAACCCACCAATCCTGTGCATGACCACTTGGCAACTTGTGATGGCCTCATGCGAGCCTTTTTGTCCTTGCCCAATGGGACGCGCCATGGGTAACTTTGGCCTGGCCAGGATGGTCTTCCGTCAATAAGGTGGCATTTGCCAGCTATCACCATCATTTCTTGATCATGGCACGAAAAATGAAGAAGATGTGCCAAACTCCCTTTGGGACCCGGTTCGTCTTGCTCCTTTCGGCACGCATTTGTTGCGGATCGCTGGCAGCTCTCACGGACTTCCTGCAGGGCGACGCGCGAATGGCTCAGATGTTTTTGCCAGAGGTAACTTTTGGGCGAACGAGGCGGAGACAAGCTTGGAATACTTCCGTTCATTTTGACTTAGAAGCCACTCATGGCGTGCTGGCGTCCAAAAGGAGACTAAGGGTGTGTGCCTTTTTAAGGTGCGCAAGGTTTAGTAAAGGATGGAAGTTCGACCTGTGCGAACCATACCCCCGAACCATACCACGAATCATACCTCCGAACCATACCCCGAATCATACCCCCTTCACAATGCAGGTTTTACTAGTACTACTACTACTACTACGACTGCGACTACTACTGCTACTACTACTACTACTACTTCTACTACTACTACTACTACTACTACTACTACTACTACTACTACTACTACTACTACTACTACTACTACTACTACTACTACTACTACTAACTACTAACTACTACTGCTACTACTACTACTACTACTACTCCTACTACTACTACTACTACTACTACTACTACTACTACTACTACTACTACTACTACTACTACTACTACTACTACTACTACTACTACTACTACTACTACTACTACTACTACTACTACTACTACTACTACTACTACTACTACTACTACTACTACTTACTACTACTAGTACTACTGCTGCTGCTACTACTGCTGCTACTACTACTACTACTACTACTACTACTACTACTACTACTACTACTACTACTACTACTTACTACTGCTAGTACTACTACCACTACTACTACTACTATTACTACTACTACTACTATACTTCTACTAGTACTACTACCACCTACTACTACTAGTACTACTATCACCTCCTACTACTACTACTACTACTACTACTACTACTATTAGATTTGACCAAAAGGCACCCCCTTTTGAAAGGCGCATATTGGTAAGCTGTTCTTAAAGGATGAGAGTTGTTTTCCGCGAGGAGGTGAGGTTTGACGCACAGTCGTGGGGTGAACACGGTGATGCAATGGGGCTCATTGGTTCGCGGGTTCGCATGTCCCTTAGGAAGTGTTGCTTCATGGCACAAGATGCGATCCTGCATGTCAGCTCTAGACAACCTGCGATGCCTGGCAAAAAAAAGAGCCACAGTTTGGAGTGCCAGTTTGTCGTTTTTCGTTTCTTTAGAGTGCCCTTTCTCACCCGTTTTTGAGGGGAGGGGGGAACCCCCTACTAAAATAGACTACCAACTTGTTCTAACCTCTTTACTGGAGGAACCTAGGTAGGGGTTCATCCTTGTGCTTCCCAAAAAAGGCAACAGTTTGGAGTGCCAGTTGGTCGTTGGTTGTTTTTCTCTTTTTTTTTTGGGGGGGGGATTGTAGGGGTTCCGACCCCAAGCGCCCAAGGCTACCGGAGGTGGAGCTGGAAGAGGCCGTGGAGATCTTCAAAGCCGTGGAGGAGGAAACGACGCCAGGCGGACCTGAGAGATCGATCCTGTCCGGGCGAATGAGTCGCTTCCCGAGAGTCCCTTTTAAGGTTTGGACCATGTTGGTGGTAAAGGTGAGAAGTTTGGATGGACTCTTGTTGCCCGTCTACTCAAGTCGTTTCTGGTACTCCGCGTTCATGAAGTCCTTTAGAGAGATAGCCTGGAGCGGTCTTGAATTCGGAGGTGAGCCTTAGATCGTCGCTGGTTCACATGGTTGCAGTGTGGAGGCCGTTCTTTTTCTGAAATAGATCAGCGGTGGCTACAATGTTGCTAGATGCCTTGGTCCATGCCGATTAGTGTTTAATGAAGGTTTTGAAGCTACGGAAGCCAAATTGCTTGCCAACGTACCAAGAATTGTTGCAAGGGTCTTGTCCCAGACAGCTTAGCGTATGCTTGAAAGATGTTCCTTGGGGTGTTGCTTGAAATTCGTTGGGAGCCACATGGTGAAGACCCTGTTGTGTCGCCACTTTTTTTAAGAAGAAGAAAAAACAAGGGGTAAGTGAAGGTCAGCGGTCCCAGCCAGAAGATAAGAACCAAGCCGCCCTTGGTTCGTTACAAGGTTTGGGGAGGTGCAGATTAATTTCATACCCAGTTTTGATTGTGACTCAGGGTGCCCCGAGCTTGGCCCCATCAACTTGCCGCTAAGCAACATTTGGCAGATGGTGGCAGACTTGTTGGCAGAGGGAAGCAGCCGATTTAGGGCGTCCCCCCCAATATTTTTTTTCAGCAGCAAGGTGTGTAGCAGCCGCATATATGGATCTTGGGGCAGACGCCTTGACTGTAATATCCTGTAACTACAACTCCGCGCCAAGGGGTGGGCAAAGCGAGTTGCAGCTTCCCTCCATTAGGTAGAGTGCCTAGTCAAGACAGTGACACATGTCCAACACAGCGAGAACCAGCATCCAGCTGCGGGACCGGCTTTCGCACGTTTCCTGCAAATGTGATCGGATCAGGGCCAGAAGAAACGGTGGACATCCACGCCTTTGCCAAGCAAGCGGCAGCTTGGCCAATTGAATTGGCGATGCATCTTTCAAGACGCCGTCGATGTGTTTTAAGCAAAGGGCTTGAACGAGGTCACCAATGATTTGAGTCCGTTTCTGGGCGGATGTCCTTTGTTTACCATACGCTACTGACATACGTCCAATTACTCAAGATTTGACGTCAAAGGAAATTACCAATATTATGAAACCAATACTTATTTACCAGAGGCACCATAGAGAATCTGGAAGCATGGATTGGAGGGAGTCGCCGTGAAGTTGTACCTCGAATGTTGTTTTCTTCCTTTTGTTTTGGTTGCCAAACGCCCGGGTTTTGCAGCAACATCCGACAGGGATCAAGGAAGGATGTGGTTGCGGAATGCAGCCACCAGCACCGCCGAGCAGATTCATATCCTTCTTGCAGGGTATAGCGCTGCTGCTGCCGCTGATGACGGAAAGCGCTTCTTTGAAGCGGTTGAGAGTTGGACCACAGGGGGGGGGAGCGGGGCAAGGGGTCGGCGGGTCGGCCTGATTTGCAGAATTTCGCGCCAAAAAAAAACGGCTAAAATTTGGGTGTCTGTCCGGGAATTGCTCGCTCGCTGCATTTTTGTGCAAAAACCTGAGTGCTGGCGGCTGAGCCAGTACGCGGGATGCTGGGGATGCCGGGGATGCTGGGGATGCTGATGCTTGGGCTTCATCTTTTGTTCGAGGAGCCTGTGTCGAGGTGCTCCTTTGGACTGATTCGAGCTGTTTCCTGGCGTGTCCACGCATCCTTTTTTCGTGTGAGCAATGGCTTCAAAAAGACGGCTAAATTTTAGGCGTCTTTTTTGGATGCTTTTAGCGCTCGGCGTTCACTGGCTATCGCTTTCTGCGGGCGCTCGCTTCTTCAGTAGGTAACTTTGGCGTCTGTCGCCTTTCACTACTTTAGTCGTGCTTTCCATTCGTTACCTACAGACAAGAGGCTATTGAAAGCACTGGGCGAGGCCATCGCCTGTTGGAACATCCTACACACTGTGATTCCATCCGCGCAAGCTCTGCAGAGAGGCCCCGGTCGTTGCTAATATTCCGGCAATTTTCAGCGGGGCAGTTTTCGTTGGGCCAATGTGCTGGCTGGGCATTTCGGGAGTGCGACACAGCGACAAAGCAGGCACCCATTCCCAGCCATGTGAGTCAGCGCTGGTGCGGGTTGTTGCTTGCGTGCGCGTTAGCGCTTAGAAGAGTTGTGCAGATATAGGCTTTCTGTGACTTGAAAGCAGGCTGTGTCCGAGCTGAGTGGGTTTCTGGAGAGGAGAACACTTCAGATGCTTTGACGAAGCCGCTGGGAGCTGCCCGGTTTGCGGAGTTGAGTAAGATGACGGGTTTTACCGAGGACGAGATTGTCGCGAAGGACTTGGAGGTGAAGTGTTCTTGGGCTGGCTAGTAAAGGTCTCCACGGTGAAGGCAGTGAAGATGGTGAAGTTTTCAAATACAGTGATGCGGCTTTGACCTGAAGACGTATGTCGGGCTGAGGGTATCATGAGATACTGGCCCGAGGAATGGGTTGCGCTGGCAGGAAACTGGCTGAGGGGAGTTTGGACAAAGTGTTCATTGAGGTCTGTTGCAGACCTCAGTCTTCTTTCCGGACAGCCTCCGTGAGCTTGGGATGGGGCTATTTTGGCCTGACTGAGCGAGAGAATCTCTTTGAGGGGAATGTGCAGAAAGCCATGATGGTTAACTTGCAGAGCTGCAAAGCCAGGAATGTTCGTGTGGTTTTTTGGATCTCTACTCCGTGCACGTGGGGGTCTGGACACAAGAGGCTTCAGATAGCCGCCAGAGGAGAAGCCGCAACAGCTAGACTTGTGGAGCTTTTGAAGATCACCAAGAAGATGTGGAAGTGTTTGGAGGAGCCGCTGAAAGCGGCTTGTCAGGTTGCTGGAGTGGTCCAGGAGTGGCCGCTTCACAATGAGCTGTGGCAAGAGAGAGAGTGTAACCGGGTGGTGAACGCTGCGGGCTTTGACAACAGTGTTGGTTTTGTTTTGGATCGCGAGTGGTGGCTTTCTACGAGTAAGCCATGTTTTGCAGAAGCGCTGAGAGGTAGAGCGCATGCATGAGGCTCATGAGCCTTTTGACTTGGTTCAGAGTCAAAAGGGTATGTATCCGTCGCAGATGTGTGAGTGGATCCTTCAGAGGATCAAGAAGTTGATGCTTGCTGGTGATTGGTAGAGCGAATTTGTGCTTTGCCAAGGGCTGTGTGAGTGTCCGAGTTTTTGTTTGGCTCAGAGGATACTGCGGGTATCCTTGTTGGGTGCTGCTGTGCGAAGTTCCATCATTGCCTAGATGACGGGGTACAGAGGGATCAGACGAGGCCAAGGGTGAGTGCGGAGTACACATCTTCTCATGTGGCTGGGAAAACTGCAGAGTGTTTCCAGAAAGCTAAGCCAGCTTGTGGAGTTCGACAATTTGCAGGAAGGCTACGTCAGCTTCGTCCCTGCCGAGTGTGCTTTGCGGGCGAGATGGCAGAGTAAGAGCGCCACGAGATACACAGCCAATTCACCAAGCCGAGGTGTAGAAGTACAGAATGGTGAGCTGGGCTGTGCGTTTTGCTGTGCTTCATGTGTTGTTGAAACCGTTTTAGAGGTAGGTTTTGAATTGGATCCAATTCGTTTCTTTTTGGTCTCTTTGTGTTGATGTTTGCTGGCCAAACAGGTTTTCGAAAGTTCTTGCGAACTTTCTCTATGCCAACTTATTGCGGGAGATCAGATGGAGTTGCGTTCGTCGCATGGCAGATCACTTGTTTGGGGGTGTTGTTTTTTGGCTGGTTTGGTGTTTAAGGTTTTTCGACACACAGCAGGCTTAGTGTTTCACTGCAACTTCGTGGCCGATCCTCTCGGCTCGATCTTAGGGCCCTTGAGCTAGTGTATGTGTGGTGGAAAAGTGTGCGTGCGGGCTGTCAGTGTGAGGGCCTGACTGAACTATACACATATACTGAGAAAATAGAGGTTTTTTGGTCTTAGACAATTTCTGTATTGGCTACGGAAGGCTGAAGAGCCTACTCACTGAGTTAAGACTGGTGACGGTTTTTCCGCAAGAGGGCAGTGAGCCCACTGCTAACAGCAAAGGAGCCCACATAAGTGGAACGCACCGAGACGGAGTGATTTTGCAAGCGTGTGCATGCCTTTGGTGGCAGCCTCTTGCAATGCCGCATCACCATGGATTCGACGCCATCCTTCCGGCGCAAGCTGAAACCGCCCATGGAGCAACGGAGCGAAAGACCTAACTGGGTAGGCTGCGCATTAGTGACAATGGCAGTCTTGGCCCTGCAGGAGCACTCCCCAAGGTAAAGCATTCGCAGCGGGCACTCCCCTCCAGCTTGCCAATCTGCTAACTGCCCACCTCGCATCCCTGCCAACTACTGCATGCCGGTCCCAATCCCCCGCAAAAGTATGCCATTAAGGGCCCACCACCTTTGGGCGAAGGGGGGGCTTAAGGGGTGCTGAAGGTGCGGACCCAGTCTCGAGTATGCGCTGCGGTATTTAAAACGCTTTTGGAAACTGTGCCTGTTTTTCCCGTCCACTGCGGCGCAAACGGTAGAAAACCCCAGAAGCAATCAATCCAGAACTTGAAAACCCGCACTAAAAACCATGCCATAAAGGGCTCGAGTTTCACGCACCCATCTGAGGTCGTCTGTGATGTCTCCTGCAATGGTGCAGTCATCCACATAGCCTTCAAAGCAAATGACACGAGGAAAACGTCAAGACAGGAAAACCGAGAAAGCGCAGCCCATGTCAACCCCCTGACGAATGACTCGTGGGGGCAGCAGGCGCCCTTGCACCTTGTGCATCACGCCACGGCCAAAGAATAGATAGCACGCGTATTCCCAGGCATCAAGACGGAGTCTAGGTTGCCTGCCTTCCTGCTCTTGTTTTTTTAAACCTGCTGCATGCAATTAACTTTCCGCGGTTTTTGGCTCGAGACTGCCCCTGGCCCAGTTCTTGCCCCAAAGCTATCTGTGGGACACTTCGGGCACCTGCCTGATTATCCACCGCAGGCATGTGTTCTTTTTTTGGCAATTGGATCGGTTGCTTGTCCTTGTTCTTTTGTATTCTGCAGGACTGTTTAGGCAGCTGCCTGATTGTCTGTCCACTTGCGCGCAGGAGTGATAAACATTCCGGACCAGCACAGCCGGCAGCGCGGCGCAGCAGGACCATCAGATCAGTCCGGAGCTCTTGAGTAAGATCCGCAAAGTGGGACAGGTTGTGCTCATCGGCAACTCCTGGGCCAGCAGAACGCTCGCGGCTTGTTTGGTGGGTCTCTTGGCCGCGTGGCCGTTGGCTAAGCTCTCTTGGCCGACCTCGGTTTCATGCATGAAGAGGTGTGCTGCGGTGGCCTGTGGGTGCAGAGCTGCAGGCGCTGCAGAATCGGAGCCACGGATTACCACTTCTGGCAATGGCAAGCCTTATGTGGCAAGATGGGCGTGCCGCGGCAAATTTAGCTACCGCAGTCTTCCTGGATTTGCGCTGGCGTTGTTTTTGCCTGTCACGCGACCGTCTGGCGCACGGCGGTGTCGATCCTGATTTATCACATCAAGGCCGCCTAGCCCCCTGACAAAGTGCGGTGCATGTATGGAAGTAGTCACATCCGGAGCCTGGATTACAAGCTGAAGACCAGCTCAGCAGGGCCGCCGCGATGGCGCCGGCGCTCTCCGTGTCCGTCATCTCCGTTTGGTCTACGATTTCCGTGAGCGTATACGAGTTTGCTCGGCGCTGGTCGTCTTGCGGCCACACATGCCAGGGTGTTTCGCGCGGAGCTCTTCGTGATAAAACAGGCTACTCACACTGCATTTCTCGTGTCCGTATTCAGTACTGCCTTTTCCTTATGTTTCGTTGCATATTCAGTGGAGCATTGAAGAGCTTGCTTCGACACTTCGTGGATTTGGATTTCCGTGCATAGATGTTTGCGCGGCGTTGAGTTTTGGGCATTTGTTTCCCCAAATTCGGTTTGATTCAGATGTGCTTCAGCACTCTCCTTCAGATGCTGGTCAGTTGAGACTCCTTTTTCCTGGCCTTCCTTCGAGTTCATCTTTCGGCTTGGTGGTTTGTTGAGACATCTGTCTCCGAACTTGGCGGGTTGTGGCCCTTTCCTGGCTTTGATGTTGCAGTTACATGGGTTTCTTGGTTCGTTGAGACTTCTGTCTCGGGCCCAACGAACCAAAGGCAAACCATAAGTAAACCAAGGTACACCAAGAGCAAACCAAAAGCAAACGAAACCCAAACCGCAAGAAGCCAAAAGCAAGCCAATGGCAAACCGCGGTAAAACCAAAGGCAAACTAAAAGCAACCCAAAAGCAAACCAAAGGAAAACAAGAGGCAAACCAAAGGCAAACCAAGATCAAGCCAACGGTAAGCCAAAGGCAAAAAGCAAACCAAAGGCAAACGACAGGCAAACCAAAAGCAAGCCAAAGGCAAACCAAAGGTGAACCAAAAGCAAACCAAAAGCGAACCGAAGGCAAACCGCATGCAAACCAAATGCAAACCAAAAGCCAAAACAAAGCAAACCAAAAGCTGATCAAAAGCAACCCAAAAGCAAACCAAAGCCAAACCAAAGGTAAACCAAAAGCAGACCAAAAGCCAACCAAAGGTAAATCAATAGCAACCCCAAGGCAGACCAATCGGTAACCAAAGGCAAACCACAAACAAGTCAAACCTAACTAAAAGCAAGCCAAAAACAAACCAGCGGCGAAGCGCAACGAAACCAAAGGAAAGCCAAGAGCAAACCAAACGCACACCAGGAGCAAACCAAAGCCAAGCTAAAAGCAAAGAAAAAACAAGCCAGACCAAACCCAAAAGCAAAGCAAAAGCAAGCCAGAAGCAAACCAAGGGCAAACCAAAAGCAAAACAAAGGCAGAGCAAAAACCAACCCAAAGCAAAACAAGAAACAAGCCAAAGGAAACCAACAGCAAACCAAAGGCAAACAAACGGTTATCCAAACGCAAACCAAAGCCAAACCCAAAGCAAACCAAGGGCAAACGAAAAGCAATTCAACGCAAACCAAAGGCAGACCAAAAGCAAACCAAACGCAAACCAAGTGCAGACCAAAAGCAAGCCGAAGCACACCAAAAGCTGACCAAAAGCAACCCAAAAGCAAACCAAAGTCAATCCAAAGGCAATCCAAAGGTAAACCAAAAGCAGACCAAAGGCAAAACCAAAAGCAAACCAAAGGTAAACCTTTAGCAATCCGAAGGAAGACTAATAGTTAACCAAAGGCAAACCACAAACAAGTCAAACCCAACTAAAACCAAGCAAAACAAACAATAGCGCAAAGAAAAATCGAGCCAAACCCAACCCAAAAGCAAAGCAAAAGCAAGCCAGAAGCAAGCCAATGGCGAACCAAAGGTACACCAAAACGAAACCAAAGGAAAGCCAAGGGCAAATCAATAGCAAAACAAAGGCAAAGCAAAAGCCAACCCAAAGCAAACCAAAAACAAGCCAAAGGAAACCAACAACACACCAAAGGCAAACAAACGGTTACCCAAACGCAAACCAAAGCCAAACCCAAAGCAAACCAAGGGCAAACCAAAAGCAATCGGACGCAAACCAAAGGCAGACCAACAGCAAACCAAACGCAGACCAAAAGCAATCCGAAGCTCACCAAAAGCTGACCAAAAGCAAGCCAAAAGCAAACCAAAGTCAATCCAAAGGTAAGCCAAAAGCAGACCAAAGGCAAATCAAAGGCAATCCAAAGGTAAACCGGTTGCAGACCAAAGGCAAGCCAAAAGCAAACCAATAGCAAACCAAAGGCAACCAAAAGCAATCCAAAGGCAAAACCAACTACGAACCAAAGGTAAACCAAAACGAAACCAAAGGAAAGCCAAGAGCAAACCAAACGCATACCAGAAGCGAACCAAACTAAAGTCAACAGCAAGAAGAAGCAAGCCAACCCCAAACCAAAAGCAAAGCAAACAAATTAAATCAGCGGCGAACCAAAGGTAAAAAGAGCAAACCGAAGGCAAACCAATGGCAAACCAAAAGCAGCCAAAGGCAAGCCAAAAGAACCAACGCAAACCAAAGCAAAACAAGAGGCAAACCAAAGGCAAACCAAAAGCAACCCAAAGGTAAGCCAAAGGCAAGCAAAAGCTCAACCCAAATGAAGAACCAAAGGTAAACCAAGACGAAACCAAAGGAAAGCCAAGAGAGAGCAAACCAAAGGTAAACCAATGGCAAAAAAGGCAAACCAATAGCAAACCAAAGGCAAGCCAAAAGCAAGCCAAAGGAAAACCAAAAGCAAACCAACCTCAAACAAAAAGCCAACCAAACGCAAACCTAAGGTAAACCAAAGGCAAAACGCGAACCAAAGGCAAACCACAGGCAAACCGAAAAGCAAGCCAAAGCAGGCCAAAGCTGCCCAAAAGCAATGCGAAGTAAACCAAGGGCAAACCAAAGGTGAACCAAAAGCAAACCAAAGGCAAACCAAAAAGTAAACCTAAGGCACACCAAACGCAAACCAAAAGGAAACGAAAGGTAGACCTAAGGCAAACCAGACGCGAACTAAAAGCAATCCAAAGGTAAACAAAAGGCAAACTAAACATAAACTAAAGATAAACCTAATGCAGACCAAAAGCAAACCAAAGGCAAACCAAAAGCGAACCGAAGCAAACCAAAAGCTGACCAAACGCACACCAAAAGCAACTCAAAGTCAAACCAAAGGTAATCCAAAAGCAGACCAAAGGCGAAACCAAAAGCAAACCAAGGTAAACCAATAGCAATCCAAAGGCAGACCAATAGTTAAACAAAGGTAAAACCAATTACGAGCCAAAGGTAAACCAAAAAGAAGCCAAAGGAAAGCCAAGAGCAAACCAATCGCACACCAGAAGCCAAAGCCAAAGCAAGCAAAAGCAAGCCAAACCCAAACCAAAAGCGAAGCAAAAGCAAATCAGTGGCGAACCAAAGGTAATGTGCAAAATGAAACCAAAGGAAAGCCAAGAGCAAACCAAAGGCAAACCAATAGCAAACCAAAAGCCGCCAAAGGCAAGCCAAAAGCAAACCAAGCGCAAACCAAAGGAAAACAAGAGGCAATCCAAAGGCAAACCGAAAGCAAACCAAAGGAAAACCAATGGCGAACCAAAGGTAAGCCAAAACGAACCCAAAGGAAAGCCAAGCGCAAACCAAACGCAAACCAGAAGCGAACCAAACCCAAGCCAAAAGCAAAGAAAACGCAAGCCAAACCCAAACCAAAAGCAAAGCAAAATCAAACCAGTGGAGAACCAAACGTAAACCCAAATGAAACCAAAGGAAAGCCAAGAGCAACCCAAAGGCAAACCAATAGCAAACCAAAAGCAGCCAAAAGCACGCCAAAAGAAAACCAATGGCAAGCCACAGGTTAAACCAAAGGCAACCCAAAAGCAAACCAAGCGCAAACCAAAGGCAAACCAAAGGCAACCCGAAGGGAAGCCAAAGGCAAGCAAAAGCTCAACCCAAATCAAGAACCGAAGGTAAACCAGACGAAACCAAAGGAAAGCCAAGAGCAATCCAAAGGTAAACCAATGGCGAAAAAAAGGCAAACCAATAGCAAACCAAAGGCAAGCCAAAAGCAAACAAAAGCAGGCCAAAGCTGCCCAAAGCAAAGCAAAGTAAACCAAAGGCAAGCCAAAGGTGAACCAAAAGCAAACCAAAGGCAAACCAAAAGTAAACCCAAGGTACACCAAACGCAAACCAAAAGGAAACGAAAGGTAGACCTAAGGCAAACCAAAAGCGAACCGAAGCAAACCAAAAGCTGACCAAACGCAAACCAAAAGCAACCCGAAAGCAAAACCAAAAAGCGATCCAAAGGCAAAACAAATGTAAACTAGAGGCAATCCAAAGGCAAACCAACGGTAACTCAAAAGGAAAGCAAATGCAAACCAAAGGCAAACGTTAAGCAAACCAAAGGTTAACCAAACGCAAACCAAAGGCAGACCAAAGGCAGACCCAAAGCAAGCCAAAAGGTAAACCAAAGGCAAACCAAAGGCAGACCCAAAGCAAGCCAAAAGGTAAACCAAAGGCAAGTCAAAGGTTAACCAAACAAGTTTGTATTGGAGGATACTCTCGCCGGATGCTATCCTAACCCTTTCAATATGATTCGTGGGGACGGTGCCCTCCGGAGTGTCATTTGCGCTTTCCGTTGTTTGCCGCATTGATTTGCAGCCGTGCTGGCATCTCTTGAGTTTTCTGCTTCTGCCTCTGCGTGACGTGTGTATCATTAGGATCTACAGCCGTGTCATTGCTTCTTTGCAGCTTGCAGAAGTTATGTGGTTGTCCACAACCCCGAGGGCTGCTTTAGCTTGGCGGGCCTGCAAGCTGTAAGGCTCGGATGGAGCCCGCAAAAAAACGAATTTGCTTCTGTAACATAGTTAAATTAGAGATACAAATAAGAATATGTATAAAGAAGAAGCATAGTATGTTCATATTCCTTCTTTTACCTTTTTATCAAATGGCATATCTTGTGTGCTTCCACGACCATGACTTCAGGAGGATCAATTTAAGTACTCCACACAGCCATCCGATTTTGTGGAGCCCTTGCAAATGTGATAGTCGGTTTGGGTGCGGTGCGCGTTTTTCCACGCGCTTTGTGCTTCTTCCCGAGCGGCCATAGCGGATCCCAGGCAGGCATGATGGAAAACCTGGCGAAGATGCAAAAGGAGCAGGAGCTGGGAGCGTCCCTGCCCTGCGGCTTAACAAGGATCCCCAAAAAGGCACTGCGTTTAGAATAGTACCCTTTCTGGGCACTCCATTTCGGGTTCCATGTCAATGTGCAGGTGAGTCGTCACCTGGTTGTCACATTAAATTTGCTTGTCCTGGAGAAGTTTGCAGATAGTGCTCGTAAGGCATCCCTTGAGGTGTGTTTGGGTGAACATGAATGGCGCAGTTGTAAGTTGGACGAGTGCAATGCCTGTTTTCCCAAAGCACATCTGCATTAGTGCCACTTGTCTCAGAAGTTGCCTGGTCAAGGAGTGCTGCCACGGATTGGTTAATGTTGCCAGTGGGCAGGAGTATTTGATGTGGCCAGTAGCAGCAGGCTCAGTAGGGGTCCTTATCATTCCCTGCATGGGAGAATCAAAGTTTGGGTATCCTTTGGTTGTTTGGGGTTCAATCATCTAACTTAAGGTTCCCATCTTGAGGCAAAGCATGCTGGGCCCAAAACGCAAGCAGCGCTCTTGTCCCACTTGTTGAGTTCGTCAAACTCTTAAACCTTTGCTGGTTTCTTCATTCGAAGGCCCGAACCCTTGAACTCCTCCTGGCCAGTCAACTCAGGCTAGATACTGTGGATGGTTGCGAAATCCGGACAAGCACCACGAAATGAAACCGTGGTTGAAACCACTGTTTGTTGGTATTTTACAGGGGAATCATCATTCTGGTTGAAACCATTGTTTGCTGGTATTTACGTTGGGGAATCGAATCAGAAACCAGGTTTTCTGAGTTCGGTGCGAAATTAATGGATTTCCCAACCATCTACAGAATTGGGCTCCTCCTGGCCAGTCAACTCAGGCTAGCGGCAAGGCCTTGGGCTTGGTCTCGGCCTTTTCTTTTCAGGATGAGCTGCTCCGAGAGGCCCACGGCTCAAGCGGATTCCGCGATTTCTCCCCTGGGATGGTGATGTGGCTGTGGGTGAAAACCGTTTTGGGATCCCATTTTGGTTGGTAGGTGATGTCACCAGCCATTTTAGAAACGATTTTAGTGGGGATTGAATCGGATGTTCTCTGGGGGTGCGATTTGGTTTTGACCCATGGCCATGTTTGCTCACTCAGCCATCAATTCTTCAGGAAGGGGGAGCAATGTTTTAATGCTAAATTTCCCGAGGATGTGCGATCAACAAATTCCAGTGGCTTTGTTGCCAGCGATTTGATCTTTCGGTTGGTTTTGAGAGCTTTCGGGGTGATGTTTATACCTGTTGAGCCAAATTCCACCTGCCTCAGAATCACCCGAGGCTCCCCCATTGAATCGTTTAGATGGGAATTCAGCTTTCGGGCTCTGGAAATAAACGTCGAACCTCAAGTGGCTCCATTAGGAGTTTCATTTGGGGTGTATTCTCAAACTCAGGAAGCCCTCTGGGCCCCTTAGGGCAGACTCGGTGCTGTCGCTTTCGTTTCATATATTCTCATATTGTTTGATTTGTTTCTTCTTGTAAGTGGGAAGCAAGCGACTTTTCTGACCTCTCAAGCATCCAGCAGATGAGTGTACGTTGGATGAAATCCACTTTGCACCAGTTGTGGGATCATCACCCAGCTAGTGCGAAAGGGTTGTTTGTCCTTCGACGGTATTGCAAAGAACGATAGTATTGGTATGAAAGCAAGCGGTTTGCCAACATGGGCTTTGCCTTTAGACCAACCTTCCAAAAAGGGAAGCCAAAAAAACAACCCGTTTTTAGGGGGGTCGCCCTGTTTTGACACAAACCCATGTGTGTGTGTGTGTGTGTGTGTGTGTGTGTGTGTGTGTGTGGGTGCGTGTGTGCGTGCGTGCGTGCGTGCGTGCGTGCGTGCATGCGTGCGTGCGTGCGTGCGTGCGTGCGTGCGTGCGTGCGTGCGTGCGCGTATGCGTGTGCGTGTGCGTGTGCGTGAGCGTGTGCGTGTGCGTGTGCGTGTGCGTGTGCGTGTGCGTGTGCGTGTGCGTGTGCGTGTGCGTGTGCGTGTGCGTGTGCGTGTGCGTGTGCGTGTGCGTGTGCGTGTGCGTGTGCGTGCGTGTGTACCCTCAAAAACACACCCATAAGGCTGTGGGTCAAAACCAATAGTACCATTTTGGGGGGTTTTCGGCGAATTCACCACCCATTTTAGTCTAGCGGGGATTGAATCGGATGTTCACTGGTACGAAGCTTGGGTTTTGACCCATGGCCTTAGGGTCCCCCTGTTTTGACACAAACCCATACGTGTGCGCGTGTGGGTTCCCCTCAAAAACGCAGAAGATCTCCAGAGCTCAGGTGGAAAAGCTCCAAGAGAGCATGGCTTTGTCCTCCTGCCGCGCGGCCGGGGCAAAAACGGGGAGGTGTTTGCGGGGCCGGGGAGGTGGGGGGGGGGGGTGTTTCGTTTCAGAGGTTGTCTCCAAATGGGGTGGAAGTGTAAAATGAGTTGTTTTTGCTTTCCTTTACTCAGTTCCCGAGTTTGTGGACTTTCAACTTTCGAACTTTTGCTGGACCAATCCACTCAGGAAGTGAGTTTAGAAATATACATGGGTGCTGTTAAGGAAAGGGACTCGTCCGCTCGTCCCACATTGAAGGTTTGCGAACCCATTTGTAATTGACCTCACGGCCAGGAGTTGCCATATGTAGAAAGAGTATGGCTTTAGAAGCTGTACACCATTGTGAGTTCGCTAGTCAGCTCTCCCTCTAGTGACGTGAGTGGATGCCATGAGTCACTGGATCATCTCCAGGATCGAAACATCCATTCGCATGAGGTGTGGGTGATTTAAAAACAAGGAGGAACCAACCATTTCGATTGTCCCCTGTCGGTCCCGGAACTCATTTCTAGCCAAATGTCTTTGTTCATCGTTGGTGATGTACTGTTCTCAGTTGTTCAGTGGCACCCTTTTTCCCATTTTTTTTGGTGGCTGCCCCACTAAAAATGGTCTTCCCCAAAAAGGGTTCCCTATTTTTCCAGGGTCACTGAACAACTGAGTGTTGCTTCCCTCTCGAATTTTGGATGCTCTTTAGTTGGTCGCCTTCATTTTGGTTGGGCATTGGTCGGCAGGAAGCTCAGCCCTTTTTGCGCAGGGGGGGGGGACTGGTTGAAGCATCGGCATATACACATCATGTTCAAGTTCAACAGGCCTGAGCATCACTGGGTTAGTCCAGCACCCGAACATCGCGCAGGGGCGGCTGATGCAGAAGATCGATGCTAGAGGCATGCAGGATACCATCAAGGCGCGCGTCAAATCGGTCCGGAACATCTGCAGGGAGCCTCCGTGGCGCGCACGGCTTTGTTTCGCAAAAAAACAGAGGACAGTACACAGGATAACTTGGAGGGCATCTTTGCAAGTTGCTCAGAGACGGCGGAAACTGCTTTGGCCGTGTCCGTGCGATTCGCCTTCTTGGCCTAAGTGGACCCGTGGACCCAAACAGGCGACCTCATCCCCAGACACGTGGCAGCTGGCGCGCGTGCCCAGCCACTCGGAGGCGAGCCCGGCTGCCCAGCCATCCATGCACTCAACCAGCCACCAGCCCAAAGCAATCCCCAGGTGGGTGTGGCTCAAAATTAAACAGGAGGGGCAAACCGCAGGTTTTGGTCCATGTTTCCACTTCCCAGGGTTCCATTTTGGTGCTGGTTTTTTGAGCCACAGCCAGGTGTGCTGGCCAGCAATGTGCAGGACCACATTGCCGGCTGACGCGTCGCTTGCGGCCGCACGCCCCAAGCAGTCAGCGTTCCCTATTGCTATTCCAGGAGCGGGCGAAGCGCAACAACGTGCATTCCCAGCCCGATCCCACCTCGATCCCAGCGCGATCCCAGCGCGATCTCAGAGCGATCCAGGCATGCCCTGCGCGATGGATGGGGGAGCACAAGCTCCTATCTCGCGTGCGGACGGAAATGCACATCTCTAGTTTCTTCGCCCAAAGGAATGTACTTTCTCGCCTGCTATGAAGATTAGTCTTCACGGGCCACGTAAGCAGCACTGGGGGTTTCTCAGCCAGTCCTCGCCCATGCCCGCTTGCAGGCCATCCAAAACATCGCAGTCGAGCTCGAGGCCGGGGGTCTTCTGACTGAGCTGGCTGTCGGGGAGCAAATGAGCAAGCAACCAGACGCCTAGGTCGCAAACCAATGAGCACAGGAGCAAATGATAATTTGGGTCTCAAGCGCTAGGTGAACCAGAGTTCTCGCCTGAGCTTGGGACATCTTGGGACCTTTCAAGAAACGTTTTCGAGTTTTAGCTCGCCAGTTGGGCTGAGCGCTTTGATCGGTCGTTGGAGTTTGGACTAGTGCCCTCGCAGGAGGAGGACGAGAGCAAGGAAGAGGAGGAAGTGAGCAGTGCGACCAGCGCAGAGGCCAACCCAGATGAGGCCGCGAAAGGGGGGGAAGGGGGTTTGGACAAGGCAGCATTTGTTTGAAGCAAACTTTGACAGGACGACAAGACCAGTTCGATTGGAACAAAGGTTGTGAGTGCAAGAAGTGGCTATTGGACAGATGTATTTTGATGGATTCCGAGTTGTCAGTTGTCCTGTCAAACAGACCTTGTGTTTGGCGATGTGCTTGTCCCGACTGTCACATACATGGGCTGTTGGAAAGATCTTGGCCCGACCTCTCAAAGGGTGGGGGCATACGCATGAGGGACCATACCCATGTTACTGCCGTGTGGCCTTCTTCCGAGCCCTGGTCGGCAAAACAAAACACACATGCAGCAGCAAGAAGCAAGACTTGTACGTGGAGGACCTGAGAGGATGCTTTTCAAAGGGAAATCGAAAGACGACAGGTTATTTCAGGGACTCAATACACCGCTGTCATGCTTCTTGGAACTGAGGCGCTGACTGTTTAAGGCATGATCTGGCGGGCTGGTGTTTTGTGATTTGCGCCTGCGTGGTACGTATTCTTGTGCTCTCGTTACGGTTCAAGGCGCTAGTGGAAGAACTGGGTTGACCAAGCTCCTACTGGTGTCTGGCCCAAACAATACCTAGGTCCCCCAGTAGTGCCCTTTTACCCCTTTTTTGGGGGAGGTTCCCCTACTAAAATAGACTACAGAAAAAGTTGGTCTCTACTGGCCCCCCAGGCTCCTGCGGACTGGGAGGCTGGTCTGATGGGCTTTGTGGTGGCAAGGGGGGGGGGGTTCGCGTGGCACAAACAGGTGAGGCAAGTTGGCTGGGTCAAGGAACTTCAGAGACTTGTCAACCCTGGTCTTGACTCCAGATTTGTGAATCTGGCAAACGCTATGTGTTTGCACAATTGTAGATTGCAGGAGGCTTGCAGGGACGTAGTAATCCTGAGGTTATCATTAAGGCCGTGTGTTGGGCTATGATGGATGTCCCCCCATCATCGGGGCTTAACGAAGTGTCGTGTTGCAAAGTTGCAAGGAACCAGTCACCTTTCTGTGAGCCCTCACATGCTGGCCTTGGTAAGTTGGCTTCGATAGTTTGCTGTTTGCTCGACTTGGGAGTTGGCGAGGTATGTGTTTCTGCTTTTGAAGCAAGTCGCACCTGCAACATCACGGGTGTCCTATAAAAATCAGGACCCCTTTTCGGGGAGTCACTGAGTTGCTTTCGCATCACGGCTCTTTTGAAGTTCGAATGCCATGGCGATCTTCATGGCGATTCTTTGGATATTCTACCTGGTCCAGGGAAACCCAACGGAATTGGTGTTAGCCTGTTGTGGTTGCATGTTTAACCGCACCCCCCAACCCCACCCCCCCCAACCCCAGCCCCCCCACCCAACCCCACCCAACCCCACCCCCCCAACCCCCCCAACCCCCCCAACCCCCCCCAACCCCCCCCAACCCCCCCCCCCGCCCCCAACCCCACCCCACCCAACCCAACCCCACCCCCCAGCCGCGGGCCGCAGACTTTGCAGGTGGCACTGGATCAGTCCATGGCCGAGGCGGCCACGGCTGAGGCCAAGGCCGAGGCGAAGGTGGGATCGGCCGTGCCGGGCCGTGCCGGGTTGAGGGTTTTAGTCAAACCGAACAGCCGCACTGCTTCACCTGAGGCGCAGCCAATTCAGCGGAAGCAAATGAAGAGACTATGTTTACATGTCAATGTGTATAAATAATGTCATGTCATTTATCATAGGAGCAGCATTTCTGGACCCAACTTATCCAAAGCGGTGGCCAAACGAAATGGGTTGGTTTGTGGGTTGGTATGGTTGGCTTAATTTTGTTTGAGGTTTGGGTTTGGGTTGGTTTAAGCTTGTTTCAAGCGGCCTGAAACATAGGCGGCCTCAAGGAAGGACACAGAGACGCAGCAAAAGGAAGAGCACACACACACAGATGCACTGAGAGACGCAGACACAGAGACACAGACAAAGACACACACGCACACAAACACACAAGCAGACACAGATACAAAGACACACACACACACACTCAGACCTACACACACACAGAGACACACCCACAGCCACACGTGCATACGCACACGCACACGTCCGCGCAATCACACAGATGCACGCACGCACCCACTCACCCACCCATCCACCCACGCACCCACTCACCCACAGAAACACACACAAACAAACAAACACACAAGCAAGCAAGCAAATAAGCCATCACAAAGATAGAAAGAAAGAAATAAATAAATAAAGAAAGAAAGAACGAAGGAATGAAGTAAAGAAAGAAAGAACTAACGAAAGAAAGACATAAAGAAAGACTGGACTAAGAAGTGAAGAAAAGAAAAGAAAGGCAAAGAACAGAACATAACAGCAGAAACCAGAAAAGCACAAAGACAAAAAAAAACAAAAAGCAATCAATCAAACAACAGACAAACTACAAAGAAACAAGCAAACAAACAAACAAGCAACCAAACAAACTAAAACAATCAAACAAGCAAAGAAAAATACAAAGAAACAAACAAACATACCAGCAAGCAAGCAAGCAAGCAAGCAAGCAACCAGACACACAAACGCAAACACACCGACAAACAAGCAAATAAACAAACAAACCAAGGAAACAAAGCAACAAAGAAGAAGCCAGCAAAGAAACGAGCAAACAAACGCGCACACACACACACACAGATGCAGACACGCACGCACGTGTTCACCTTTCTCTGCTTGAACCAAGGCTGGAAAACAAGAGCAAGGGGCCAATGACATTTGAGAGAACATCAAGATTCAGTGAGCCTTTGTGTGTGAACTTACGTTTTGTATGGTTCCATTGTAGGGTCCAGGAAAACAGAGTCGAGGTCCTTTTGGAAGGGAAGGGAAGCGACAAGGAAGCAGAAAGCCATAATTTTTAGGGGAGGCTATGAGCAGGGTACTGTTTATTCCCTATAGACCAAGCACGTAGCGAACTTCATTTAGCTTGGTTTCTGGTTGGTTTACTCGCCAAGGGTCCAACATGGGGACCCAAACCAGGAACCAGGAGAGGAAACACCCAGTGATTGCGTAGGGAAACGAATAGGACACTTTTGTGAAGCAGCTGGCCCATTGAAAGCGGTTGCATTCTGAGCGTTCTCAAAAATGGAGCTGTGAGCTCAATGTGCCAATGCGGAAGCATTGGCTCTGTACAGTTGGCATGTTGATGCCCTGGTTGTTGTAACCAAGTCGCTTGGAGCTTTTGGAAGCAAATGGGATTTCCAGTAAACCCCCACAAAAAGCGTTTGGAAACAACCTGGGATTTCCACTAAACCTCTAACAAAAATTTGGCGCTTAGAGCCGCCCTGGGGAGTTTCGGCCGGATTTCACGGACGTGAGTCTCGCCGCAGGCAGAGGTGCAGGATCCGGAGGATCGGATGCTGACCTTCGCCGAGCAGCGCGAGGATCGCCTGAGGTCACGAGAATTGCACTGCCAGATCGATATCATGGCTGTTGTCAAAATCGTTTTGGGATCCCATTTTGGTTGGTAGGTGAATTCACCACCCATGGGATTGGGATGTTGAAAGTTTGCTACTGTGGATGGAATGGTGGTTCCCCTGTAAATACCAACAAGCAATGGTTTCAACCATGGTTTCAAAGTGGTGCAGGATTTCGTCCTTCCACAGTATGGCAAAGCTTCCATTTGCTGAATTGAACATGTTTATTTCCCCCTGTTGGCTGTGGAGGAAATCTATCACTACTGGAGTATGTTTTTTTTGTTGTGTCCCGGGGGACTTAAGCAAATGGAAGAAGGGGGAATCTGTTGAGGTACTACCCCACAAAAGTTGTGGTTGTCCTTTTGGTTTGCTCTTGAAGCATATGGGTGTGGCTCA